AGTAAAAAAATGTAATTCTTATTACTTTATCACCTACTTATTACTTTAATAAGATGACCTATTACTTATTACTCATCTTATTACTTGTATGTTACCTTGTTTAGGTTATATGAATGTATAATGTCCAGAAAATGGTTCACCACATCATCAGCGCATTTAGCAACCAGCTCGAATATTTTTAATCGCATTTTACTCTTGATGAACGCTTTTCACGAAGAATAAAAGTTTCCCGAATAAGTTATCAGTTTTCGCATCAGTATATGCCGGATGATCTTCGAAACGAACTACTTACCGTGAAACACGAAAGTCAAACATAGCAAATATTCTGCATCTAAAATTTTCATTTGCAATCCTTGTGAGTTAACAATGCGAAGTTAATTTCCTTATCTATGTTTCTGCGCAACATCAGCTACTGAGTATTTATTTAGAAAGAATCCATCAGTGTTTACAACGAGAAATTCCGTTGTTCGAAGCAATCATCGTCGATTTTAACACATTTATAAAATGCATAAAGAAATGCAACAACGATTCGGTCAACATTTTGATTCAAAAATTTGATAGCCTTTGAATTTTCTTTATAGAATTCGAAAACAATCACATAGAAATGAAATGCAACATCAGAGACAATATAATTGATTTGCAATATTACACGCAATGATGATATTACACGCAACTTAAGTCGTCAGATGTTCAATGCTAGAGAGATCAACTCGAACTGACTTCATACATATTATGTGTCATAATTTTGATTTATTTCAAGTGTTTTAGCGAGCAACACAACAACTGTATGTTATATATAACATAATAGCAAATATGTGCGACGTACATTGTACGTAGTGGGCCACTTAGAGAATACATACACAGCTAATTTAGCGATGATTTTGAACAATCGTTGAGTTAGCTGTAATGCAATTGAAAATTAAACCAAATAAAGCATGATAGATACATTCCTTTATATAACTTTGTATATTTTGTCTGAATTCGTTTGTAAAACACTTTTATTCCAAAGAATGAAAATTCAATTTTAAACATGAACATGTTTAACCTTTGGACTGAGTCGTGTTTTTTGTGTACTTTGATTATGTAAAAACAATATTCTCTATGTTTTTTTGTATGTTTTGTAGTCGTTTTATTTGGCGACCCTCAGCATCAAAATTCTCGGGAGCCAACCATTTTTGAAATGCTTCCTTTATTTTTGGCCAATCACTATCGATGATTGAAAACCATGCTGAGTCTCGATTACGACCTTTGACGACGATCACTTTACGAAATATCCCTTCAAAAGTGAAACCCAACCGTTCGGCAGCTCTACGCGACTGAGCATGGAAAGTGTCACACTTCCACTCATATCGACGATAACCAAGTCCATCGAATACATAGGCCATGAGAAGATATTGTGCTTCAGTGGAAGCAATGGATTGTTTCAATAATGGAGAGAAGACAACGCGACCCACTTCAACTGATCCATTTACACGATCGGCTCGCAACAGTGAAATCATTCCCACAGCTTTGCCGGAAGCATGAATGATGGCAAAAGAAAATCTTCCGGGTTCTTTCACTGTTTTTTCGACGTAGTTGCGAAGCTCTTCGATATTTTTGAACGCTTCAATTGCGAGGTAAGTAAAGTCTCGCCCATCGTTGGATTGGCTGTAGGACGCATATAGATCGTTGGTATGTTTGGCCTCAAGTGGTTCCAATCGACACGTGCGACCAATTAGCGTCACTTTTTGTGGTTCAGCACGAATCGTCCAGCCAGGCACAGCATCACCGATGGTTTGACCATATTCATTGGTGCGCGGCATTATTCTTGAGACTGAAGTTCCTCTAAAACGAATTAAATGTTTTTTCTTTGCATTGAACCCAAATAATCACTTTTTGTAATATTATTTCTAACTATCACTACTAGCAATGTGACTTACATTTTAAATCAACGTGATGAATATAGGGAAGACCCGAGCAAACTGATATCATTCATGAGTCTTCATCGACAATCTGCTCCACAAATTGTGAATGATCAATTTAAATGCGGTAACAACTACACATTGTCATGCATAAGTGAAGCGCTACGTGTGAAGCGCGTGGCCGATGTGCTTGAGATACGTAACAATGTTTTATATGAAATTAATTGGCTGCATACACTTAATGCACGTAAAGAATTGATAAGAGTTGTGGTAAACCAACACTCATTGGACAATAAATTGAACATTTTCAAGCGGAATTCAAATCTCCATGTGAGCAAATTAGGGTACTCCAATAGAATCACCATTTCACCAACATCCTATCGGACTACCTATTCCAACGTATTAAATAATCCCATGACATTTCATCTAAAATTTGTGTTTTTTTTGCTTCGATTCGTATCCATGAAGCGAATGGAGAAAAATGAGAGATAAAATTGAATTTGAAACCATTTATTCATCATGTGCTTGAATAAAAGAAAAAACCATAAGTAAGGTTCACTGATACTAATTTAATAACACCATGATAACAGTGAAACACCTCTTGAATGTGATTACTGAAAATTTATTCCGATTAGAACACAATACATTGTATAAGTTTTTTATTTGTTCCTATCTTTAAGAGAAATGAATAGACATTTTTGCCCTTGATTTTTATTCAAGATTATAAAATCTGTCAACATTCTTCTGCATCTCTTCAATTTCCGCGAAATTCCACGAAAGTTTTTATTTGTTTCCCTTGGTTGTCAAAGTTTTCGGGCTTCAACCATGCCTGAAAGGCAGCTTTAATGGTCGGCCATTCTGTGTCGATGATTGAGAACCAGGCCGTATCACGGTTACGCTCCTTATAAACGACAGCATTCCGAAAAATGCCTTCGAATCTAAACCCAAGTCGAGCTGCAGCTTTTCGTGATGGTGCATTCAAACTATCGCATTTCCATTCGTAACGACGATAACCAAGTTCATCAAAAGCATATGCCATCAAAAGGTAATGCGTTTCAGTTGATTGAACAGTTTGCTTAAGTAGCGGTGAAAATGTTATCCAACCCACTTCGATCGAACCGTTTGCTGGATCAATCCGCAGGTATGACAATATTCCAACTGCCTTATCCGTTGTTAGATCAATGACAGCATAATATTTTGGATCCGAACCTTTTGCAATACGTTCGATATACTTCCGAAACGGTTCCAATTCAATGAATCGTTCTTCAAACATATAAGTCCAATCCCGTCCATCGGGAGCCAACAGGTATGCCTCGAAGAGATCATTGGAATGTTTGATTGGATCAAGCGGTTCCAAACGACACGTTCGTCCATTCAATGTAACATCTACTGGCCATGGTCGAGCTGTCCAACCTGGCACAGCTTCGCCAATTGCTTGACCGTATTCATTCGTTCTTGGCATATTTATCGATATAAAAGCTACGCTGGAAAAAAAACAAGAAGTATTAGTAAAATTATTGGATTATCTATTCATTCAGAGAGGAAGTCATCTGAAAATAATTTCATGAGGCACGAAATCATTATAAAATACAATCAAACATGCTTGTTGATCCAATACTAAGAAAAGAATTAGAAAAAAATATACAACAACAAAATGTGAACAAAATAAAACAACCTTGACAATTCCTTTTTTCTCCGTTTATTAGAACACTGACGGGATACAACTTCAATTTACTTGGCTACACACAATAAAAATTATGCTTTAAATAACAAAAAATTATTCGGTGAAACCGGGAATTGAATTAACTACATGTAAAGAACATTAATGTCACAGTTGAAATCAATTTCACACTAGCAAATTCTGTAACAAAAGATTTCCTTTTCAAGTTATTTATGTATAGCTTGTGCCAAGCGCTGTTTGTTGCTTGTTGTTCGAACGACCAAAGCCAACTGTGTGTGCATTGTGCAAGCAAACTGTTTCATTGATAACTTTCGACTCATTCACGAGCTGCCGAATACAAATGATTACCACATACAAACATTTGAACCCGTGAGCATAAAAACAACGTATTGACTCTTCGCCGATGAATACGAAACGCAAAAAAATCGCCGAACAAAGTGAAACACCAATCTGTTATTGGATCAATATGAAACATGAAATCGTTGGCCACTACTTTATTTACGTTGCGCTTTGTTTCGAAGCGCGGCAAGTGTTTCATTTTGTTCCAGTAACAGAACGTTGTATCACTTTGTTCGGCGACGCGCTCAATGTACTGTTTTGAAAAAATATGCATGATTTGATACAGTTTTGTGCGAGTGCAACATAAATTCTGTTCGCTTGAAAGTGAATCGTGAAATATCGGCTGACTATAGAAATTGTGTTTCACTTTAATTGAAACAAAAATGTTTGATACAATTTTGAGTCCATTGGTATGATGATTCATTTTAATGGTGGTTTTGGTCGTGATTTGTCTATGAAGTGAAAATTAACTGATAAGGAGCGCGAATTTCGATGTGCCGATAACACCAATAGAGCAGAAAAAAATACTATATGAAAATCGAAAAAAATTTAAACTTTTTTTTTCGACTGTTGCCTATTTCGGATCGTCTACATGGGAAGTTTGTATGAAATCCTCGGAACGCGGGTTCACGCCGCTGTGAATACATTGGTTTATATAGTGAAATCTATACATGGCCAAAACACGGACGCAAAACACCCATTCTATTTCGCTCACACTTACGTGCAATTTTTACCCGTATAACAAAGTAGTCTGCTTTACTGTTAAAAAGATGTGCGCAGTAAAGAAACAAGAACGTACATGTTTCAGCAACGTTAAAGTGCACGTAAGTGTGAGCGAAATAGAATGGGTGTTGTGTTAAAATGAATCATCATACCAATGGACTCAAAACTGTATCAAATCATGCATATTTTTTCAAAACAGTACATTGAGCGCGTCGCCGAACAAAGTGATACAACGTTCTGTTACTGGAACAAAATGAAACACTTGCCGCGCTTCGAAACAAAGCGCAACGTGAATAAAATAGTAGCCAACGATTTCATGCTTCATATTGATCCAATAACAGATTGGTGTTTCACTTTGTTCGGCGATTTTTTTGCGTTTCGTATTCATCGGCGAAGAGTCAATACGTTGTTTTTATGCTCACGGGTTCATTTCTCTGTGTGTAACATTGTTGTGAATGTTGTTCACACTTGGATAATGCCACTCATGCAATATTCAAGTGCAATTAATGATGGAATTAATAATTGTCTGAACACATGACCATTCAGATGCGCTGTATTATTTTATTGAACAAAAATGGAATAGAGGAAGAGATTATGGCAGAGGTGCGCGTAGTTATTATTTGTTGACGTCACTATCTGTCAAAGGGAGTTAGAAGCGAAGAAAGGCGGAAACCATGAATATCTCAGGCATGTAGCGGCACTACTCGTTAAAGATCTGACAATCATTATCTCAATAATGCGAATTTTACACATTTCTTCGTTACTTTTTGCGCGGTTTCAATTCCAAATGCAATCCATTCTCTGGAATCAACATTATGATTTGTTTTTTCAATTTAATCGGAATTTCTGTTTTTTCATTCGGTTCAAATGAGAAGTTTAACAGCAAATAGTATAAAATGGCTTTTACTTCCATGAGAGCGAATCGTGAGCCTGAAAATTAAAGATTCGAAAAAAAATTTAGTTCAATTGAACGAAAATAAAATTGGTTTTATGCAATCACCGATGCAATTCCTTGGTCCGATTCCGAATGGTATGTAAGTGCCGGATATAATACGGTCTTTATTCTCATCGGAAAAGCGTTCGGGGTCGAACTTTTCTGAGTTGGGGAAATATTGCGGGTCATGCTGAATACCTGCACAGAAATAATTTGATTGTCTCTGAATACTTTTCAATTTTGGAGCCACAATAACTTTTCGTTACCATATATTGGGAATAGAACTGCAGTTCCTTTTTCTACTTCCAATTTCGTCTTGTTACCATCGTCATAGATATAGTCTTTATTGCAAACGCGATCTACCTGCGTTGATGGTGGCCATTTGCGAAGCGATTCGCAAATCACTTGGTCCAAATACTTCATTTTCTGGAGTGCATCGTATGTAATACGTTTCCCGCCGAGTTCTTGATCCGTTCCGATAATTTCTTCATAGAGTTTTTGTTGAATGTCTGGATTGGCGGCGAGCTCATAGGAGGTAAAACTCAGAAGAGTTGACGAGCTCTCGAAGCCAGCGACAAAGAAAACAAAGCATTGGGCAACGATTTCATCATCGCTCCACGCACGATTTACTGCCACCTTGTCAACTTCAGACTCTTCAACTGTTGCAAATCCCTCATTCTCCTTTACCTTCTCGTCTGTTTGATTCTTCAGTGTTCCTTCACGGATTTGCATCATAATGTTTATCATATCTGGTCGATGGATATTATTTTTCTTGCGCATGTCCATCGTGTCCAAAATTGTATTCCTGAATTCCCTTGAAACACGCGCATCGGCATAAGAAATATCGAGAGCACGAGCCACAGTTGGCATTATACTTACAAGCATATACCTTGCAGCTTGCTTTAACCCAGTGAAGTTCATCAATTCTCGACCACCAATGTAGAACTAAAAAATAATTTTTTTTAAAGAAATTAAAAAATAATTATAATTAAAATTGAAAAAAGTATACCTCATTTTCTGGATTTTCGAACGAGTTTATTTTCAGGCCAAAGGCACAAGTTGCAATCACATCATTCGTATAGCGAGTAAAGAAGTCTTTCATTTCAAGATTGACCCTATCGCCATTTTTCACCTTATTCAAAAAGTGTTTCACCACATCGTCAGCGCACTCAGCGACCAACTCGAACATTTGTCGCATTTTGCTCCCGGTGAATGCTGGGCTTAAGTTGGCTCGCATATTTCTCCACTTTTCATTCTGCATGAAAAACAACGTATTACTCCACAATCGGTCGGCTTTCTCATCGAACAGTGCACGGTGATTTTCGAAATGATCTGAATTTTTTATCGCGATTTGTTTTATTATCTCTGGATCACGAATAATGAACATCGGCTCACGAAAATCAAAGAAACCGTTAAAGCTATAATCAACGTTTTTTTTCTTATTATTCTCCATTTTAATATAATATCAGTTGCAATTCTGAACTGGCTTCAAAATCAACTTACGGTTCATCAGGAAATGCTTGGTATACTTTTGTGGCAAATTCAGTTGCTGTGACTTTCCCTTCGATATTGCCGAGTAAGAACTTTGCTCTTACATGTTTGATATTTCGACGTTTGAAAAAATCATTGTTAACTGTCGCCCACTTATAAAATAGATACAAAATCAAAACTGCAAACAGTAGCAATTCAACCAACATTGTGATCTAAAATATATGATGAAAAAAAATACTCTTAGACTAACTTAGCAAATTATTGTTCCACTGCAATCGCACCTAATTCTGATCCAATACAATGCAATTCACTTCGACTCACTGTTTGGCGTATACCTTGTTTGCGCGCTAAAACAATCTGACATCATTCTCGTTGTTCAATGAATATATATATGTACTAAAGTCGCAATTCCTTGGTGTAACATACATTTGAACAGCTGACAAACACAAGTTTCAATATTTACACGAGATTACTATACTTGAGCTAGGTCCGCGCTTGAATATTCCAAGGTCGCAACCACAACAACAATACGAGCAATATCATGATTATTTTTTATTAAGATCATGCATAAGTGTGATAGTCATTTAAGTAGTAGGCATATCAAACGTTTGGTAGAATGATAGTCGAACCACCTGTGCCAAGTAAGACTTTATTATATTATTCAATTCGATTTCGATAACACTATACTTCAAATGCGTTCGAGTGCAGACACTTCCTTATTATCAATTTAAAAAAAATTGAGAAAAAGGGAAAAATATCACCTTTTTCTGTCGATACAATACAATGTTTCGACTAAAAAACGTTCTAATGAAACAATCAACAAGTAACACTCCGAAATGAATGTTTAAATGCGATTTCTTTATTGAATTCGTCTAAATATATAAACATTTCAAATGCACTAGAGTAATATGACATATTAAATATGTGTTGATTTGTTGATCTTGCTCAATGGGCAATATTCAAATGGTTTCAATCACATATCAACTAATAAACGTAATTTGCATATTCCTGCTCAGTGCTCAAGTCGGTGATGAATTACTTATGGCGTGGTTTCAATTCCAAGTGCATTCCATTCTTTGGCAACAAACTGAATGGTGATCGTATCAATTCAATTGGGATCGTTGTTTTTGCATTTGGCTCAAATGAAAAGTTCAACAATAAATAGTACAAAATCGCTTTGATTTCCATGAGAGCGAATCGTGAGCCTGAAAATTAAAGATTCGAAAAAAAAAATTAGTTCAATTGAACGAAAATAAAATTGGTTTTATGCAATCACCGATGCAATTCCTTGGTCCGATTCCGAATGGTATGTAAGTGCCGGATATAATACGGTCTTTATTCTCATCGGAAAAACGTTCGGGATCAAACTTTTCTGGATGTGGGAAATATTGCGGGTCATGCTGAATACCTGCACAGATCAATAATTTGATTGAACGCTTTTCAATTTAGAAGCCACAACAATTGTTCGTTACCATAGATTGGGATAAGGAATGGAGTTCCTTTTTCAACTTTGAATTGCAATTTATTGCCACCATCATAAACATAGTCCTTCACGCAGATTCTGTCGACTTGGATTGCTGGTGGCCATTTTCTCAAGACTTCACAAATCACCTGGTCCAAGTACTTCATCTTCTGAATCGCGTCGTATGTAATACGTTTCCCACCGAGTTGTTGATCGGTTTCGACGATTTCTTCATAGAGTTTCTGTTGAATGTCTGGACTGGCGGCGAGCTCATAAGAAGCAAACATCAACATAGTTGATGACGTATCAAAACCCGCCACAAAGAACAAAAAACATTGTGCAACGATTTCATCATCGCTCCACGCACGATTTACTGCCACCTTGCCAACTTCGGACTCTTCAACCGTCGCGAAACCTTCTTTCTCTTTTACCTTCTCATGGGCCTGCAGCTTTAGCGTACCCTCACGAATTTGCATCATAATGTTTATCATATCTGGACGATGGATGTTATTCTTCTTGCGAATGTCCATCGTGTCCAAAATCGTGTCTCTGAATGATTTTGCAATCGGCGGGTCGGTAAAGCTAATGTTCAAAGCGCGTGCCACAGCTGGTAATTTGTTTATGATTACAATTCTGAAGAGCTGTTTAAGTCCCGTGAAGTTCATTATGATCTTGCCATTCAAAAAAAATTCGTTCGTCGGATCTTCGAACGAGTTGATTTTAAGTCCAAAGGCACAAGATGCAATCACATCATTCGTGTAGCGAGTAAAGAAATCTTTCATTTCGATGTTTATTTTCTCGCCCTTTTGAACCTTGTTCAAAAAGTGTTTCACCACATCATCGGTGCACTCGGTAACCAACTCAAACATTTGTCGCATTTTGCTCCCGGTGAATGCCGGACTTAGTGTCGCTCTCATTTGACGCCATTTTTCGCCTTTCATAAAAAATAGACTATTGCCAAATAGTTTGTCTGTTTTTTCATCGGTGAACGTACGATGATCCTAAAGATAAAATTCTTGTTATTAATTCAAATTGACTTAAAGTTGATAGAGCAATAATTTTTTTAAGTGATCAAAATCTTCTAACCTCAAAACTGTCGAAATCTTTGACCCCGATTTTTTTAATTGCCTCCGGATCACGAAGTATGTACTGTGGAACACGGAAGTCAAACATACCGTAAATCCTGTAAAAGTTTTATTACATGAAATTATTCCTTTATATTACCAATATTTGTCTGTATAAAATATTGGTTTGTTTCAATAAATACTGAAATATAGCTTACGATTCATCAGGAAAGGCTTGGTACAGCTTCTGAGAAAATGCCGCTGCTGTGTATTTATTGAAGAATAATCCGCCAGTGTTTCCAACCAAAAATCTTGGTTTCAAATATTTGATATTTCGACGCTCAAAGAAATCATTGTTGATTGTTGCCCACTTGTAAAACGCATACGAGATCAAAGAAATCGCCGCAAAAAGCAGTATCTCGCCTATCATATCGACCTGAAAGGAAGTGATAATATGAATTTAATACTTTTCAGTAAACGCGAGCTCCTATCAAACCACTCTGCACCCGTTCACAGAATGTGTACAATCACTCTGTGTCCACAGGTACTTTATCTGATTTTATATAGGAACAATATCACAAGTCACTGTTTGTCCAACGTGCTCTATTCATTTACGACTGAACCAACTAAAATTGCACACCACGTATGAATGTACAATCCAATGAGAATGAATGAGAATTTAAGAACAACAAAATTGAATAAAATTCACGCTTCTGCGCAGATGCTAAGCTTTATTTTTCAAAATAACATATCGTGTGTTCAAACATAGTACATGACCTTGTCAAATAATGATGATTCTCTCCTAAATTTGCAATTTTCATCACCAAAAATTACTCAGAACAATCGCAAATCATTCCAAAGTATAACAATGGTTGAAAAATGTCGCGAAAAATGATCGGATTTATTCGAAATTACACTTAATTTTGGGTACACGCACACGATTTTGAAAAAAAAAATCCGATTCGTTCTGTGGCTTCCAACAGTATTTTGAAACAATTTAACGAATTACAAGCAAAATTTATATGTCTGATTCATTGAATAGAGATAATGAAATAGCTAACTTTTGATGTATATGATAACAATGATTCTTTCACTTACGGTTTTAGAACATTCAGTGATATCAGCTCGACGACTGGGAGTAAACTGAAGCTACACTCATCAAATGTTCACCGTTTTGAAGCCATTCCGACTATTTATGTATTTTAAATCTCAACGGCGTCATCATGATGTCTAGGCTGAACAGTTTTGATAATGGTAAACACTTGGGTACGGACACTTGATTAATGAGAAATACACACATAAGTATCTCGAAACCTTTGTTATCATCATCATTGAAAAAATGCTGTGTAACGAACGTAATACAAATAACAATTAATCGATTTATAACGCATTATATGTTTATTTACCGTGATATTTTGATTGATATGATTGAAAGCTTGGCGATAGCGTTCTCTAGTGAAAACATGCTGTTTTAATTGAAAATATTTGCAATGGTGTGAGCTTTTCTAAAATTCACACATAATCAAAGTAATCGAAGTGACACATGTTGTCG